GGCACGGCAGCAGCCACATCTGCAAGAGGTTAGGAAGCACCTTCACAGAAGGGAACAGCAGCGCCTCGCTCGGCCCTGCCAGGACCAGGAACTGGGGCCACCCTTCCCTTATTCTATCGCAGGTCTTCACTCCAGCTGCCTGATTTTAGGCTTGCTCTTCCCTGGCTTCTTCTTCCTGCATACGCAATTTTTCCACAATTCTCTCTCCACGTTACGCTTCGGTGATACGATCCACTCCTAAATCCCAGCCCCGCCTGCAGTGAGCAGCCAGCTGCTCTAATGGAGGCCAGGAGAGAGGGGTTTGCCTTCCTTCCCCTCAGCCCTCAGTGCTCCCTGCCAGCACATCCTCTGCCTGGGTGATGCTCTGCACCCCGTGGGACTCAGAGACGCAGCACGGCCTCGCACGGCTGCAGCCCAGCGGCCTCTTTCCAGAGTCCTCACTCTCCCGTCTGGATAAGGTTTGGCACCCGGGAAAGCATCTTGGAACATCGAGTCTATCCAGCTGACAGGCGGTCTTTTCAAGGAGGGCTCCACTGTGTATTTCCACAAACCTGGACAGCCCATGGGGTTTTTTATTTTGCTGTCAAGTCTCCAATTCCCTCAGCTTTTACTGTCAGAAGGAATCCAGGAACAAGACAACATCTCTCTTGGCTCCTCTCCCCAAGGCTCCTTCTGTGGGTTTCCGGCAAAAAGCAAAGATGCTTTAAAAACCCAGCACACACCTCTCCCTCCCAAAGGACTTCCCAGGGTCACCACATCACCCTCGCAGCCCGCCAGGACATGGCGTGAAGTGGTTGTCGCCAACCAGCCCCTCTGCACAAGCTGAGATAACACATGCCCCCAGCCTTTTATTAGAAACACGTTATTTTGTTATTTTCTCTCTGCTTTCCCCTCTCCCATCTACATTAATTCTATTATTTATAGGCGGGTTTACCACCTTTTTCTCGTCTCCCATCCAAACCACACGCACTTTCTTATTCCTCTAATTCCCGCCTCACCCCGACCCTGCCGACAGGACAGTCCCTTTTCCGTACAGACCGATGATTGTCCCGACAGTGAATGATCATTTTGTCTATATATATGAACATGACGCACGGACCGCACAGAAAAATTCAATCAGTTATGCACGGAGGAAAGGCTTAGGCCCGTTTCCTTGACAACCAATGCCCAGCACTAAATACTTGCATTTTACTTGCCAAATACTACAGATTAGCCAACTAAAGCCTGCTTTCTCCTTCTTAAAAGGTCTAAACATTCAAGCACCGTCCACTCAGCGCAAGCAAGCTAATGTTATTAGACGAATATCTCCTGGCACACAAAGGGGGGGCAGCATTTGGGGGGCGAGAGGAGGAGAAAAGCAGTCTTGTTTTCTGTCTGAAAGCCAACTGCATCACTTAGCAACGAGCCCAGAGGCCTGCCAGAATTCAACCCTTGTTTGCAGCCTTTTAGTTCGGCTCAGTAAATTACATTTAACGCAAGCTGGGAGGGTCTGGGACGACTGAATGGCTGAACAAACAGCTCCCTGTGCTGCCCCACGAGGTCCTCGGCCGGCTCCCGCCCGGCTGCGGGGAGGTGATGGGAACGGGGAGAGGGGAGAAACCGCCCCCACCAAGGAGGTTTGAGACGGGGGGCAAAGAAAAATGAGGGAAGGCAAAGGCTAAAAACGGAAAGCCAACCACTGCTCACTGTCTGCTTGCTTTGGCATCAGTCCTCGGCATGCCAGAGCGGAGCTCTCCCCGTGCCGGGCAGCCCCCAGGCGTTATCACAGAATCACAGAACGTTACGGGTTGGAAGGGACCTCTAGAGATCATCTAGTTCAAACCCCACACTACACAAGCCAAGCAGAGCTCCAAAAAACTTGCCAGAGCCCCCGCCCTCCTGCCAGCACCACGGCTTAAACCAAACTCATGCCATTAAAAGAGCAGTGCGCAGGTGGATTAAGGAGTTTCTCTGTCACTTCCTTTGCCAACGGGGATCAAACACACGGAGAGGGGCTGAAAGCAGGCAGAGGGGACTTACACGGGGAGTCTTGCTCCCTGCCGCGGTTTACAACGTGCCCTTGGCCGGGAAGGGGTAGCAAAGGGAGCTGAGGATGCCAAACTCAGCTCACGCCACATGGCCTGCACTGGCTGGCTGCTCTCCCCAGGGAACACCCCACAGGGAAGTCTCGAGACAGGTCTGGGGAACCTACCTTTGATGCTGCCGAGAGATAGCGAGCGATCCCGGTCTGCCAAGCCAGGCCCCAGTTTGCTGCTGCTGCTGCTGCTGCTGTCCTTCTGCCGGGCGACGGCCACGGCGATGCCGACGGGCAGGTGCCTCACCTCCACCTCGCCCTGGGAGCTGATGCTCTCGCGGCCGAAAGATTTGGCACTCTCGGGTCTCTCGGGGTCCCTCTTGAGCTGCTTCGCTGGCTGCTGCCACAGCAGCGCCTGCACTTTGGAGGCCCCCAGCTGCGAAGAGTCCAACTTCACGTTGCCCAAGCCACCGAAGGGGCTCTTCTTGCCGCAGCTCTGCCGGGACGCGGTTTCCTTGGCGAAGCTGCCGCTGTACTTGATGAGGCTCTGCATGGCCGACCCTTC